GCTCTTCCTCATCTCTTCCCTGCTGAGCCCTAGGGTACAGCAGAATGCTGTTAGGATGCCTTGCTCTTTGTCATATTTAATCCCATCTCGTTGTGGTCACTGGAGCGTTGTCCTAATCTTCCCCCCACTGCCAGCCCCTCCCCATGGTACACCTTCAATGCATTTCAGCAGTGCTCCCCTGCTGTCTGCCACCATTGCTAATGAGAACGGTAATCCAGGTGGGTCCTGAGGTTGATATGGGAGGCGTTCCACTAAAACCCAACCTCCAGCCCCTTCCTGCTGCCCTCCATAAGCCAGCTCCTTTCCCCTTACCACTCCTCCGCTTACCTCCACTGAATGCCCATGGAGCCCCCACTTGTTCCCTTACCCAGTGCTGTAGATATGAACCCTTGCTTCCTAAGGAGAGGCCTGAACATGGCATTTCTCCCCGCAGAGGCGCTGGTGGAGCCTGAGCTGTGCTATGTCCTGGACGCGGTCCTGTTCCTCTATGGCATTGTTCTCACCATCCTGTACTGCCGCCTGAAGGTGAGGCTCTACTTGATCCCTCTGCCAGCAACTCCTGACAGGCAGCTGGTGATGGAGGCGGTGCGGGGGGGGGCTGTGTCAGTGACCCTGTTCAGATCCTCATGGGGATGAGCAGTCACAAGGAGGTTTCAAGGCTCCATTTCAGTAGTGATTAGGAGGGATGAGGAGTCTCAGTAGCGATTAGTGGCTTGGGAGGGACCAGGAGTCCGGTACCAAGGGACTGGTGCCATGACCCGGCAGAGAGGTGTCGGAGAGCCCAGGTGGAGAGCAGCAGTGGGGCTGCAGGGGGATGTTAGCAGAGCCACATGGGAGAAGCTGGCATAGCTCCTGCTGCTGCCAGCCAGCATTGCCTGGGGTATGATGCACTCCGGCGGCCCCCAGAGGTACCACTCCTTCTGCTAACAGGAAGGAGAGAGCAGTCCAGTGGTTAGGGCACTAACCAAGGAGACCTGGACTCAGTTCCTCATTGTGCCACAAACTCCCAGGACAACCCTAGGCTACGTTAACCCGCTGCATGTCTCTTATCCCCTGGGGTGTCTTTCAGCCATGGTGCTGCTTTGCACAGGCTCCCACCTGGGGCAGAAGGTATTTGCATCTCTGTGGCTAGCCAGCACTGCTGCCAGGCACAGCAAGCATGCAGTGTAGACATGACCCAGTCTGTGCCGCAGTTTCCCATTGTACAATGGGGACAATGGCTCTAACCACTTGCACAGGGCGTGTGCTTAGATAAGCACCTTAAAGAGCACGAGGGGCTCGGATAGAATCAAAGGGAAGTCAGGCTGAAAGGGACATCCGGAGGTCATCTAGCCCACTGCCTAATCAAGGGGCAGATATATCAGCAGAGAGGGGTCCATACTCAGTACGGAGGGATCTAGCACACACCTTGTAGGAAGCTAGTTTCTATCCTTGCAAGATCAGTGCAGCCCGAAGGCCACTGTAACCTGTCCCAGGGCTGGGCAGAGGAGCTGTTACCTAATGTCTCCTCTCCTCTGTGCTGGGCTCAGCAGAGAATCTGGCCCCTACAATGTTTCCAGGCTCTTTTTTCTTTAATTTATGCTTTTCTTTTCCCTCTTCAGATGCAGGTTCGAAAGTTGCCAAAAGTGGATCCCAGCGCAGTCTATGAGGTAGGTCCCTGTTCCTTCCTACCACCTATTTTGTGCCATGAATAGGCCACAAAAATCATAGACTCTTCATTGCCCGCTGGTCCAGCAGAGCCGAGATCTGCTGTTTGTCTGGAGTCATGCCGCAGAGCTGGGGGGGGGAGGGGGATGTTTATGTCTGTCAGTTCCTTTCTCTTGCAAGTTTGGCCTTCACTCCAGTTCCAGTTCCTGTTTTCAATTGTGCTGTCCCTCCTATCTGCATGGCCTTTGGGCTCTGTGCCCTCATCAGAGGGCTTCTGTCCATCTGACCCAGGATTCAAACAGACTGACACCTTTCTCCAGCATTAAAGACATCTACCTAAAAAGGCAGGAGAAAAGCTGGGGTAGATTAAGCCTTCAAAGCCATGCTGTGACTCACGGTCTTGCCCTTGCTGTAGCCACTGACTCAGTAGGACCAGCTTCTCCATTGCTAACCAGAGGAAACTGGACTGGAGCCTGAAATAGAAGCTCCTGAGCATCCTGCAACCCCTCATTTCCATCCCATGGGCCAGTGAGCTGCATTGTGGCACATGGTCTCCATCTGCCCAAGACATCCCCGTTCTTGGACTGCAAGTTCTCCATACATAAGGACATCAGCAGTGCCGTGCTGGGTTAGACTAGCTGTCTGTCTAGCCTAGTACCGTGTCCCTGACAGTGGGAGAAGTGGATGCTATAGAGGCAGAGCACTGAACTGGACATCTCTAGAGTAATCTGTCTCCTATTCAGTACTTTTTCTGGCATTCACCATTTATTGGGTTAGAGATGCCAGAGGAGCCATCTCCAGCTGTTCTGTTCCACAGCCATTACTAGATCTATCAGCCGTGAGTTTGTCAGTCCCTTTTTGAACCTGGCTGTGCAGTCTACCTCTTCCATCTCCTGTGGCAATGAATTCTACAGATTAACCATGTGTTGTTAAAAAAAGTACTTCCTTTGGTTAGTTTTAAATTTGTCACCTACTAATTTCAGCAGGTTTCCCTAGTTCTAGTATTCTGGGACTTGGTGAACAACCCAACACTTCCCTGTTCACTTGGTCCACACCCTCCTTTATTTTATAACTCTCACATCCCCCCTCAGCCTTCTCCTTTCCAAACTGAGGAGTTTACTTTCTTTTCAGTTTCTCCTGGTGAGGTGAATGCTTCAGGCCTCTGATCATTTTGGTTGCCCTTCTCTGTGCTTTTTCTGTTTCTTTTACATCCTTTTGGAGAAGTGGGGACCAGAACTGCACACACTATTCAAGATGTGGGCTCACCATGGATTCAGATAATGGCAGGATTGTGTTCTCCATTACGTTTTCAGTTCCATTCTTAACGACGCTCAATGTTTTATTGCTTTTTGGTCACCGCTGCACATGGAGCTGATGTTTTATAGAACTGTCTATAGTGACTCCACGCTCTCTTTCCTGAGCCGTGACAGCTAGTTCAGAGCCCAGCGCTGTGTACGTATAGCTGAAGTTATTTTCCCCCAGGTACATTGCCTTACACTTGTGGACACTGAAGTTTATCAGTCATTTTTTTTGCCCTCGCACTTAGCTTGCTGAGATCTTTCTGCAGCTTCTCTCCAGCAGCTTGGGACTTGACTATCTGGAATAATTTGGTAGGATCTGCAAACTTGGAGATTTCACTGTGCACCCCCATTTCCAGGTCATTGATGAAAATGTTGAACAATATAGGGCCCAGCGCAGATCCCTGCAGGACCCCACGTGGCCTCCCTCCACCCTGGAAAGTGGCCATTTAGTTTTACCTTTGCTTCTTATCTTTTAACAAGCTCTCAGCCCACAAAATCTTCTCTCCAGCCCCGTGGCAATGCGGTTTTTTTTAAAGGCTTTGGTGAGGCATCTTGTCACATGCTTTTTGGGAGTCCAGCTGTATTATGCCAACTGGATTCCCCCTTGTCCATGTGCTTGTTGACACCCTCAAAGAGCTCCAGCAGACTCTTTCC